TGCTCTTGACCCTTATTTCAAAATATAGCTTGTTTATCCTGAGAACTAAGGACGAGATTTCCTACAGAATGGGGGTGAGAGAAAAAGAGAGGCTCAGACAGAAATCATTATGCAGAACATGCACCCTCTCGGTGCCACTATATTTTCCTCTCTTCTGAAAGCAGAAACCTTGCTTTCTTGCTTACTAATTTTTATGACATCCAGATGAGAAAATAAAGTTCACTTTCACAAGGGCTTTACGTTAAAAATCTTAAAACCCCACCATCACTACCAAGAAAGCACAAATCCCAACCCCGGAGAGGAAATACAAAAGTTAACTAAAAGACAAGGACTTATTAAGAGATTCACAGCCCCTCCGCCTGTGAACAGAGCTCGCTGAAGCATGGATTGTTGTCTGCTATTTCTATATGGATTCTTGAAGTGTATGCTGTTGGAGTGGTTTCTAATAATGGGTGAGTGATTTGCCTACCATCTGTCATGTGTTCTTTCTTTCATTCTTTTCCCGCAGGAGAACATGCGATGTTATGTTTTGGTTCAGTCACTTTTATCTGTTCTTTTTCCTGCTGTTGTGTATTTCTGTTGGAAGAATCTAAGTCAAAGAAGTGCTCTTTGGGCTTTTAGTGGCAAGGAGATAAAGCTTTGGTGGTCACCGGTTCCTGGGGAAGCTAGGTAAGATAGTTACTGCTAGAACGTTAGATCTGCAGTGTGTTTTTCAGTTTGAAGGAGATGAGGAGAATTTCTATGGATGATTCATCAGCTACTGGATTCAGAAGTGGATGGAGCCTGTGCCAAAAGTTTAGCGCTCCTTCAAAAATTCAGAATATTCACTCTCACAAAGAGCTTTTGGGGGGCTCACAATTCTGAACCAGAAAACTGCGAGTTGTTGTCAGGGTAGATCCATCACGTTTAAGCAGGTAGGATACCACAGTGCTGCTTGCCAGCTTTACTGCTAGTTGTAGGTATCAGGACATTAATAAAGATGGTTCCTGTTACAAATCTTAGGATGAGATTTGACAGCAATTATGGATCCTTACAGACAGCCCTTTAGGCTACAAACCCATGTAGCTTCTATCAGGCGTGCTGGTGGATGCAGGCTAGTTCCTGGGCAAGCGGTATTTAAATGGGACTGACCTTCAGCATGAGAAGAATCTGGTAACCTTTTGCACTTCTCTCTGTCTCACTCAGGTCTGGGACAACCCCTCCATACCCTTTAAATGGGCAGAGGCCTGACGTACCTCTTCAGTCTCTAGTGGCAATAAGTGGACAGCCATGCAGTGCATTGCCACTGGTTGCTAGTATTCCTGGGGAAGCTTACCACCAGAGGCCTGTCGTCGGAGCCATCCAAACCCAAAATAAAAAGGCAAGTGATCCACAATGGACTAGGTGAAGTCTGTATTCCCTGTATTCCCAAGTACCTTTGGTTACAGACTGCAGGCAAAGGGGATCATTCCACCTGGCAGACTTCCCTTTTCTTTCCCATTTCCCATTGCTGGTAGAGCCCAGACTCCATCAAGCGGAGGAGGTTGAGCAGCGGTCACTGGTGGGACTCCATCTTTCTCACAGCATCAGGTCATCAACAGCAGGTGCAGGATACCTGTATGAAGAGTCCCACATTTAGGGTCCCACGCAGGGGGAACCCACGCTGCCCGAGACTGACAGCATACCACTTTTATGACCCCCTCACCCCAGTAACCAGGATTCGAGTTGTTGTCTTCTGGCCACCCTGACTCCTATCGTAGAGCACGCCAGCTCAGGATGGGAAAATCTGATGTTCACATCTTGCAACGTGAACCTGGGTGTCATCCCTTTAAAGGGAGCTGTCTACCCAGGCACATGGCGGCATGCCAGGAAGTGGGAGTGAAAAGTGGTAGCTTCATAAATTCCTAGAGAAGCACATAACTTGAACTGCTTGCTATCTTACTGATCGAGCCAACAGCTAAATCCCAAAAGACACATCCAGAAATAAAAGGCCTCCATTAAAAGGAAAAAAAAAAAAAAAAAGGAGGAAGAACTTCTAATGAGACCTTTTCATTAGGAGGAAGACAGAAAGCCTCCCGAGGCACCTCCAAGCCACAGGCTTGGCACAGTGTGTGCTGTAACACACGGAACCGGGGTACCAGGAGGCACTGATTTTTGGAGGCAGGATGCCATTCTGCCCGCCAGCGGTCACAGCGTGGGTATGTGTGGTGAGCTGCCCCCAAGCTGACCCAGGTCTGGCCTTAAGCTTTTTGAACGAATAGGACCTTCCTCCTACTTTGAGCAAAACTAGCTCTTTCACCACCTCCGCAACAATTTCTTCAGACAGTTGCCAGAGAACTTGCTCACAGTAAAGCTGTGCTTGCAGAACCAGCATCACTGTTCTCAGGGCACCACCGGCCCTGCCCGGCCCTGCTCAGCTCCCCGGGGCTCCCCCACAGCCCAGCACCCCATGTCAGCCCCTGGGGCCATCAGCCCCTGCCCCAGCAACATGGCAGCCGTGCCGGTCTCCAGCTCCCAAATACGGTTTGCTCACTCTTCATCCCCTCGGTTGCTATTGTTCCAGTTACCAACGTACACTACAGCGTCCTCCCTTTTGTCTCTGTTCTGCAGCAATGTACTGTCGTAATGTAGGATCGAGTGACGATTGTTAAGTGAGTTTTCGTATTGGAATGCCAAATGCTCCCGTAGCTAACTACACCTTGTGAATTAAAACAGCCAAAGCACCGTGGCATAGGGCCAACGCCCCGAAGACTCCCTTCGCTACTGCAGACCACGGCTTCGGGCAGCTCCGCAGAGCCCACAGGAGCCTTACCCTTCCAAAAGCACTGAAAACGGTGCAAAATCAGGCACAGACAAGTAACAAGCTCATTTGTAAAGACTAATACTACCAAACGGCCAAAAGGATTGCTACAAGGAAAAACACCCCACCTTCTCATTTTAAATGGCTTTGCAATTTGTGTATTTACAGCTGTTTTAAGTCCCCAGGTGTGGATCTGCGTACTTCACAAGACGACCAATGTTTTCATAGTTTTTATTGAAGCGGTATTCATCATCAAAAATTCATTGGACTAATTTTGCCTTTTTGCAGCGCTAATTGCCCAGATACCCGCGTCTTTAAATCACTCTTGTCACATGACTTAACGGACCTTTCCGTGCCTTTTTCTCTCAAGATGTCCTGGTTTCGGCTGGGATAGAGCTAATTTTCTTCACAGTAGCTAGCATAGTGCTGTGTTTTGGATTTAGTACCAGAAGAATGTTGATAACACACTGATGTTTTCAGCTGTTGCCAAGTAGTGCTCAGACTACTCAAGGACTTTTTGAGCTTCTCCTGCTTGCCCAGGTGCATAACAAGCTGGGAGTACAGCACAGCTAGCACAGCTAACCCAAACTGTCCAAAGAGCTATTCCATACCATATAACGTCATGCTCGGGGCGGGGTTAGTTAGTTCGGGTGGTCGGGCGGTTGCGGGGAGACTGCTCGCGGCTCGGGGACTGCTCGCGGCTCGGGACGGGCTGGGCATCGGTCAGCGGGTGGTGAGCAATTGCATTGTGCATCATTCGTTTTGTATATTCTGTATATTCTGTTATCATTCTCATTATTACTATTATTATTTTCTCTTATTAAACTGTCTTTATCTCAGCCCTCAGCTCTAACCTTTTATTTTCTTCCCGATTCTCTCTCCCATCCCACTGAGGGAGGGGCGAGTGAGCGAGCGGCTGCGTGGTGCTGAGTTGCCAGCCGGGTTAAACCACGACACAAGAGTATTTCACCTCACGGATTGCATCATGGTCTCCACCATCGCCACCACTTTGAGAAATCATTTCCCAGCGCCACTTTTGCCAGTGTGCGATCAGCCACGGAAGCAAGATGGCATCGCCTCTGCTCCACGACGGTTGCTAAACCAGGTCAGACTTTTTATTTAAAGCAGAGACACCAGCACTGCCTCTGCTGAGCCCCTGCGCTCGA